GACTTTCTAGTGCCAAGCTGAATGCTCTTTCTTCTTTGTCATATGGACCATCAGTATTAGACTATAACTAGTGAAATAAAAACTTACATATAATGTAACTTTCTTATTTTTCAATTTCTCTTTGAAGAACCTGAGTCCTTCTTTTAGAGTTCAAATCGTTGGAACCATATGGACAACTCAGACTATCTGCCGAGTTGGGAAATACAAAACTAAACAATCTTTGTAGCTCTAGCTTCAGTTTAGTGGTTGGGTTGAAAAACAATTTACTACTGCTTTCTTCTATAGCCTGCTGCTAAAGCAATTATTTGACAACACAACTCTCTTATCTTCAGAAATCTTTTTATCATCTTTTTTTGATTTTTTGCATGAGGGAAGCCAAAACAGACAAAATTAGGGACACACAGTACATCTGTATTTGTCAGCATAAGGCTTTTATCTTTTCTAATCAATAATCCCTTCATTATTATCTCCTTAGCTTTTGAAGCTAGACCTCCTGTTATTTATACACCATTGACATCTCAGCATCCCTTAGCAACCCTAATGTACACAGAAATAACTACAAAACTTTGAATGAGCACGAAGTTATAAACTCAAATCAAATAGAACATTTTTTAAAGTAAGCAATTTAATGAGGTTTTTAAAATAAAGATATAAAATACTTGTATTGCTCATTACAACAACAAACATCTCAGTTATAAAATAAGGAATATTTATTTGGGCAGATATTACTTCAATATGGCTATATTAAATCATCTGGTACAGAATTTATTAAAATAATGTTTTTAAATTTTTTTCTCTTTTTATAAAATTTCAACTTTTATTTTGGATTCAGGTACATGTGCAAGTTGTAACATGTGTATATTATGTGATGCTGAGGATTGGGATACAAATGATCCCATCACCCAAGTAATGAGCATGGTACCCCACAGTTTTTCAACCCTTGCCTTCCTTCGTAGTCTCCAGTGTCTATTGTCCCCATTTTGATGACCATGAGCACTCAATGTTTAGCTCCCACTTATAACTGAGAACATGTGGTGTTTGGTTCTCTGTTCCTGCATTAATTTGCTTAAGCGAATGGCCTCCCACTACATCCATTTTGCTGCAAAGGACATGATTTCATTCTTTTTTATGGTTGCATAGTGTTCCATGGAATATGTGTGTGTGTGTGTGTGTGTATATATATACACACATATATATACACACATATCCCACGTTTTCTTTCTTTTTTTTTTTTTTTTTTTTTTTTGAGACAGAGTCTCGCTCTGTCACCTAGGCTGGAGTGCAGTGGCACGATCTCAGCTCACTGCCAGCTCCACCTCCCAGGTTCACACCATTCTCCTGCCCCAGCCTACCGAGTAGCTGGGACTACAGGCGCCCGCCACCACATCCGGTTAATTTTTTGTATTTTTTTTTTAGTAGAGATGGGATTTCACCATGTTAGCCAGGATGGTCTTGATCTCCTGACCTCATGATCCACCGGCCTCAGCCTCCCAAAGTGCTGGGATTACAGGAGTGAGCCACCGCGCCCAGCCCCAACGTTTTCTTTATCCACCTAGGCTGAATCCATGTCTTTATTATTGTGAAGAGTGCTGCCATGAGTGTGTGTCTTTTTGGTGGAATGATTTATTTTCTTTTGGATATATCCCCAGTTATGAGACTGCTGGGTCAAATGGTAGTTCTATTTTAAGTTCTTTGAGAAATCTCGAAAGTTTTTTCCACAGTGACTGAAGTAATTTACATTTCCACCAACAGCATACAAATGTTCCCTTTTCTCAACAGCATCTGTTGTTTTTTGACTTTTTCATAATAGCCACTCTGACTGGTGTGAGGATGGTATCTCACTGTGGTTTTGATTTGTATTTCTCTGATTATTAGTGATGCTGAGCATTTTTTCATGTTTGTTGGACACTTGTATGCTTATTTTGAGAAGCATCTGTTCATGTATTTTGCCCACTTTATAATGAGGTTATTTGTTTTCTGCATCTTGAATTGCTAAAAGAATGATTTTGAAGATGCATGGGAAAACCCCCACTTCCTAAAGTTTGCCTACATATAAACAAAATAGCATTTAGGAGCAGTTACATAAGTGATACAAAATTCCGCTCTTGGTATATACCCAGGAGTAATGAAAATGTATGTCCCCACAAAAACATACACATAAATATTCATAGAAGGATTATTGATAATAGCCAAAAGGTGGAAATAACCCAAATGCCTATCAATTGACAAATGGAAAAACTATGGTATATCCATACAATGAAATATTGTTCAGCCATTAAAATGAATAAAGTATTAATACATGCTACAACGTGAGTAAACCTTAAAAATATATGCTAACGGAAAGAAACCAGTCACAAAATGCCACATATGGTAATACAAAATGTCTAGAATAGGGACATCTATAGTGAAAGAAAACAGATTAGTGGCTGCTTGGGGCTAGGGGTGAGGAGATGGGGAGAGATTGGGTGGTAGCTAAAGGGTACAGAGTTTTGTTTTGAGATGACAAAAATGTCCTAAAACAGACTGCAGTGATGGTTACATTTATCTATGAATATACTAAAAACTACTGAATTGTCGACTGTAAATGGTTGGATCGAATGGTATATTATATTAATAAGAATAAATTATTATTAATTAACTAATAATAAAATTAAAAGGAATAACCCATTTAAAGCAAAGCATTCCTCCTTTGCCCTCTGCTCAGAGGCCTCTAAGCACAGATGTACTTAAATGTACTTACATTTTATATTAGCATTAGATCCTGAGAAGGAAAGGAAGTGTTCCTCAAAGTGTGTGAGCCAATGAACATAGTGTCATGACAAACAGACTTTTTAAAATGACAGTGGTATAGCTGAGGAAGCTCTTACCAGACAGATCTGTCCAGAGATAATAGCTATAAACTCTGGACAAAACACAAAAAGACAACTACTGAAGGGCACTGGAGAGGCAGGAGAAGCAGGCCAGTCTGTAGGGGTGCTGACTCTTAGAAGAAGAGAGTGGCAGAGATGAGTTTCAGGACGGTTTACTGTCTTAGCCTGAGAGCAGACCACAGGTGACACCACAGAGCAAGAAGTGACTAAAACTCCCACAGAAAACCCTCAGTCTTCCTGGGCTGGGGCACTCGTTCTGTCTTCCTCTTACTTGGTCACCCTCTGACCTCTGGCATCTGTGAAAGCCAGCATTTCTGGGTTCCTTTCCCTCTCTAGTCTTCCTGTATCTCTTTTTCCCTACTGTTTGCCCCTTCAACACTAGCATCCTCCAGAGCATTGCCCTCAGCTTCCAATTGATGCATTTTCTCTTCAGAGTTCATCGACTCGCGCTGCTTCAACTGCCACTGAGACTGTCGCATGCATGGCAGACCTCCCTTCTCAATCTCCCTCCTGGATCCCCTAGCTTCAGTCCTATGCCAATGACTTGGAAGTTAAATTTTAAAGTCAGTGCTGCTCTGTCACAGAAGCCAAACATCATATTTGGTCACGATTCCTCTTGAAATTCCTTAGGAAAGCAACATGTTGGATTTCTCATTTTTCTCCATTTCTTGAACTGCTTTCACTATTGAATTCAACTATGATTCCATTGTACTTGGTTGTCCCATAAGAATCTCTAATACACAAATCAACCTTCCAATCTTTCTTTCATCTGCCTGTATCAGGTTCCTGCACCTTTACTTCCTATGTTAACCGGTAGCATCAAAACTAACCTGGTTAGATACAGGAGGCAGAGCAAGAAGCCTGATAGAAGTCTATAGCACTTGTCCCCCACCCCAAAGGAACACCAAATTTTAACAATTAACTCCACACAAAAGTCACTAACACAAGAACCAAAAATCAGGTGAGCAATCAGTACCTGCTTTTAACTTCATATCACTGAAGAAGACATTACAGAGGGCAAGACAGATAGTCTTGAATGCCGACACCATCCTCTCCCATCCCCCAGCAGTAGCCATGCAGCTTGGAGAATGTGGGCACTTGGGAGAGGCAGAGTGCAGTGATTATGAGGCTTTGCATTGAACTCAGTGCTGCCCTGTCACAGCAGAAAGCAGAGGAAACACTTGGATAGGCCCTGACCAAAGGGTAATTGCCCATCACAGTGGTGAGCTTGAGTTCCAGCAAGCCTCACCACTGCAGGCTGGAGTGCTTTGGGACTTTAAGTGAACTTGAGCGACAGCCTAGGCCACAAGGACTGCAATTCCTAGGCAAGCCCTAGTGCTGAGCTGGGTTCAGAGCCGACGGACTGGGAGACACGTGACCTACTGAGACACAAGCTGGGGTGGCTAAGGGAGTGCTTGTGCCACCTCTCCTTCATCCTCCAGCAGTGGGTGGCAGGGAGAAATCGGTGTGCTTAGTAAAGGGAGAGCACAGCAACTGGGGGACTTTATATTGAACTCAGTGCTGGTCTGTCACAGCAGAGACCTGGTAGGATTCAGCACTTGCTGACCAAAGAGCCCCATGGTCCTGAATATCCAACAGCAATACCCAGGTTATATGCGGTGAGCCTTGGGCTCAGATGTGCTGGCTTCAGATGTGACCTTGCACATTCCTAGCTGTGGTGGCTATGGTGAAAGACTCTTTCTATTTGAGAAAAGCAGGTGGAAAAGTAAAGGGGACTCTACCCGGCACCTTAAGTGCCTGGTTGGCCTCGGTGGGGTAGGGCACCAACCAGGTTCTTGGGGTCCCTGAGTCAGGCTTAGGCTCTTGGTTAGTTAGCATTTCTGGACCTGCCCTGGGCCAGAGAGGAGTCCACTGTCCCGAAGAGTGAGTCCCAGGCCTGGAGGCATGCATCATAAACTGACTGAAGGGCCTTTAAGTGAAACATCAGTGGTAGCCTGGCAAAAGCCCCCATGGGTTGGTGGTGGTGGTGGCCACAGGGAAAGGCTCCTTGGCCAATGGAAGTGGGAGGGAAGAGTGGGAAGGGCTTTGTCTCATGGTTTAAGTACCAGCTTAGCTGCAGTAGAATAGAACACCAGCTGAAGTTCTAAGGTTTTTCACTTCAATCCATGGTTCCAAGACAACATCTCTGGACCCACCTGGGGCCTGGGGAAGCTCACTGCCCTGAAGGTAGGGACATAAACCTGGCTGGCTTTGCCACCTGTTGATTGTAGACTCTAAGGCTTTGAGTGAACTTAGATGGTAGCCAAGTAGTGGTTATAGCAGGCCTTGGGTGAGACTCAGTGCTGTGCTGGCTTCAAGTCTGAACCAGCACAGTCCCAGTGGTGGCGGCCAGGGGGATGCTTGTGTTCCTGCCCCTAGTTCCATAAGGCTCAGCACAGGGAGAGAGAGAGACTCTGTTTGTTTGGGAGAAGGTAAGGGAAAAGAATGAGAGTCTCAGCCTGGTAATTCAGAGAATTCTTTCAGACTTTATCCAGCACCACCAAGGCAGCACCTTTCTCTAGAAGTCTTCAAGAATTGCAGCATTGTAGGGTCTCAGGCTCAAGTCCCTTAGAAGACCTGAAACACCTTCCCAAGAAGAATGGACACAAATGGGCCCAGATTTCAAATTAATTTAACCAAAGTAGTGAAAGATCTTTATAATGAAAACTAAAAACTGATGAAAAAAATTGAAGAGGACACCAAAAACATGGAAACATATTTGATGTTCATGGATTGGAAGAATCAATAGTGTTAACATTTCCATAGTACTCAAAGCAATCTGCAGATTCCATGCAATCCTTATCCAAATCCCAAAGACATTCTTCATAGAAATAGAAAAAACAATTCTGAAATTTATACGGAACCACAAAAGACCCAGTGTAGCCAAAGCTATCCTATGCAAAAAGAATGAAACTGGGGGAATCACATTTCCTGACTTCAAATAATACTACAGAGCTATAGTCACCAAAACAGCATGATACTGGCATACAAACAGACACACAGACTGATGGAACAGAATAGAGAACCCAGAAACAAATTCACACACCTATAGAGACCTCATTTTCTATAAAGATGTCAAGAACACACAGTGGGGAAAGGACAGTCTCTTTAATAAATTGTGCTTAAAAAACTGGATATCCACATGCAGAAGAACAAAACTAGACCCCTATCTCTCACTATATTCAAAAATCAAATCAAAATGGATTAAAGACTTAAATATAAGACTTCAAACTATGAAAGTGCTAAAAGAAAACATTGGGGAAACTCTTCAGGACATTGGTCTGAGCAAAAATTTCTTGAGTCATACCACACAAGCACAGGCAACCAAAGCAAAAATGAATAGCTGGGATCACATCAAGTTTAAAAGCTCCTGCACAGCAAAGGAAACAATCAACAAAGTGAAGAGACAACACACATAATGGAAGAAAATATTTTCAAACTACCCACCTGATGAGAGATTCATAATCAAAATTTACAAGGAGCTCAAACGACTTTATTTTAAAAAGTGGAATAATCTAACTTAAAAATGGGCAAAAGATTTGAACAGACATTTCGCAAAATAAGGCATACAAACGGCAAACAGGCATATGAAAAGGGGCTCAATATTACTGACCATCAGAGAAATGAAAATCAAAACTACAATGAGATATCGCCTCACCTCAGTTAAAATGGTTCATATCCAAAAGACAGGCAATAATAACAAATGCTGGTGAGGATACGGAGAAAAGGGAACCCTCGTACACTGTTGATGGGAATGTAAATTAGTACAACCCCTATAAAGAACAGTTTGGAGGTTCCTCAAATAAACTAGAATTGAGCTACCATAGAATCCAGCAATTCCACTGCTGGGAATATGCCCAAAAGAAAGGAAATCTGTGCATCAAAGAGACATCTGCATTCCCATGTTTTTTGCAGCACTGATCACACTGGTCAATATTTGGAAGCAATCTAAATGTCCATCAACAGATGATTGGCTAAAGAAAATATGGTGCGTATATACAATGGAGTACTATGCAGCCATAACAAGGATGAGATACTGTCATTTTGCCACAAAATGAATGGAACTGCAGGTTATTATGTTAAGTGAAATAAGTCAGAGAAAGACAAACTTCAAATGTTCTCACTTATTTTAGGAGCTAAAAATCAAAATAGTTGAACCCAAGGAGACAGAGAATAGATGGATGGTTATCAGAGGCTGAGGCTGTGAAGGATAGTAGGGGGTGGGGAGAGGAGTGGGGGTTGTTAATGGGTACAAAAAATATATATAGTTAGAAAGAATTAATAAGACATCATTTGATTGCACAACAGGTTGACTATAGTAAATAGAAATTTAATTGTACATTTAAAAACAATAGAGTATAACTGGATTATAAAAATATAATAGATTTTTGGGAGGCTGAGATGGGCGGATCACGAGGTCAGGAGATTGAGACCATCCTGGCTAACACAGTGAAACCCTCTCTCTACTAAAAATACAAAAAAAATAGCCAGGCGTGGTAGCGGGCGCCTGTGGTCCCAGCTACACAGGAGGCTGAGGCAGGAGAATGGCGTGCACCCAGGAGGCAGAGCTTGCAGTGAGCCGAGATTGTGCCACTGCACTCCAGCCTGGACAACAGAGCAACACTCCATCTCAAAAAAAAAAATAATAATAATAGAGTATAATTGGATTGTAAAAAATAATAGAGTATAATTGATTTGTAAACTAGATTATAATTGGATTATTGTCACATTAAAGTATAAATGCTTGAGGGGATGGAGAGCCCATTTGTCATGATGTGGTTATTGCTTATTACACGCCTGTAGGAAATTATATAACATACCTCATAAATATACACACCCACTATGTACCCACAAACAGTTTTTTAAAAAACCTGGTTACCCAAACCAGAAATCCAGGAGTCAGCCTTGACTCCTCTCTCCCTCATACCAAACTCCAGTTTTGATTTATATTGATTTTAATGCATCCAACACCTTATTTCAAACCCTTATCACCTTTCACTTAGACCAGAGTCAGAGCCCCAAACTGGTCTCCCTGCCTTCATTTCTTTCTGCCTTCAGTACTCTGTAGTATACCCAGTTCTATTGCCTTTTGCAAATGCAAAATAATCAGAGTTCTCCTTTCTTGGAAAGATCCTCCAGTGGTAATCCACCACCCATAGCAGTGTTTTGTAATCATTTTTATAGCAGATTAACGTTATTTTCAAACAAATATCATATAAAAGCCTAATATCTATAAATAGATATGAGCTGTATTTTACTGTGATTAACTTACTTTGTAAGATCTAAGTGTGTAAGTTCTATAAACCAGTAAGAAAATAATAAGGAGGTTTGGCAAAATTTAAAAATTCAAAATCAATGGCAATGCAATTAGATCAGCATCGTCTTGATATTTATTTCTCTATTTTATTTGATTGCACATATTTTTAAAAATCCTGATTCATATCATTAGGTAGCTACCAGTGATAATAGTTTATTGCTTTTTCCAAAAAGTTGACCTTTCAAACTTAAAGTATCATTCATTTAGAAAAAGATAGCAAGATGCAAATATTAATGAGTTAAACTGTCAGCACGTATTACTTGGTTTCTGGTTTTTACCTGGTTAAAAATGTGGTATGTAATATGTAGTTTGAGTGTGTATTTAAGACCTGGGTTTTTTTCTAACGAAAGTCAAAGCAAACATTTGTGCAATCCTTAAGTCTCCTCCTTAGAACCTTGTTACCATGGAATAGAGTTTGAAAACCAGTGATCTAAATGCTAAACCCCAAATCCTTTAGTATTTAGTATGAAAATGTAAGATCCTGTTTCATTTGAACTTTATCAGTCTAGCTGCATTTCCCACCACTGCCAAATTTTCGCCCAGGTTTCTAAATCTATGTTCATCTTTCAAGGGGTTATAGTTTTGTACTAGTTATTTTCTCTGCCAAATGTGACTCCGGAACTACTGTCTTCTAATCCAAATTTCTATTAACTTAATTTCAAAGTTAAAACATTAACTCTCCATGATGTTTTCTTTGAATGTGCCCATAGGATTTTGTATACACTTCTATCTTAAACATGTGTTGCCTTGTGTGATAATCATCACTTCCTCTCAACTGTGAGCTCCTAAGAAAGGACTAATTTAACCATCCTGGAGTTCTCAGGAACTTTCAAAGTGCCTGCAACCTAATAATCATTCCTTAAATGTTTTACATTCATAAACTCATTCATTAATATTAATAATAACCAGTAGAGTGGTTACAGTAGCTGAAACTGCAGATTTGCATAACGTTGTGAACAGATAATCCTCTCATTGACTGACACTTTAGGTTAAATAAGTACTAAGTAGAAATCACTCTTCTAAATCATGCTAATTTTCACTTTAACTTCATTTTTCTTTAATAATGGCCTCACCCACCAACATAGGAAAGCAGGATCACCAGCAAGAGAACGAGAGCACAGATACATGGAATCAGGACCAGCAATAGGAACCGGAGGGGGTTAGCAGTCGCCAGCTTCTGAGAGCAGCCATTGCCCATGTTATTGTCATCAGCTCTCAAGACCTAAAGTAAAAGAGGAAAACGCAACATGGTTTTAGTTTTACAATACAAGGTATGAAATTTTAGGTTACAGCTATCCATTTAAAACAGCAGCATTCCAAAAAGATTTTACTGTTTGTGCTTTAGGGTATGAAATGAGCTTAGTCACCAAATCATGTCAATAAATGAACAGATAACTGTACATCTACATTCAGGGAAGAGCAAACTATGTATTTCTGAAACATTTTTCAGAAGTATTTGGGCTTTTAACAATATCCCATTTTGCTTTTTTAAAACATATTTGTCAATTTGGTATAATTCCAAAGGGCTATGAATTACCATGGCAAAACTTTACCCTGGACCAAAGCTACAACAGAATTGAAGACTGCCTAATACAGTGATACAAAATTGGTAAGTAGGTGTAGACAGAATATTATCCAGACTTCATTCTTTTTTGTCTCATTAGTCTAAACCAAATGTGAATGAATCTGGATAAAATAAGTATTTGGTCATTAATAATTCAGCCAGGCTTGCTATTACTGATCTTGCATTTAGTGACAAGTTGAAATATAAGGAGGAGCCTGCCCTGATTGCCAATTAAACGCTAACAACTCTGAGGACATCCTCAGCTGTCCATGCTGCCCCTGCAGCCCATCCCTTGTGAGAGGATGTCAAAGTGCAAAAATGATGGTTCAGATAAAGTTCTTGTCTTCAAATGCTTCAAATTTTGCTTAGTTCAATCTCTTGCCAGAAATGATATCTGGAAATTCATTTATTACAAATGGCTAGCTTCAAGCAGTGACTTCAAAAAAACATCTGAGATGGTACTAAAAGGGCTTTGAATCACTACAAGAAACTCTCTGGGTCTCCTTAATGAAGACATTTCTCACGACTCTCTCTTGGACTTCTAACTCTGCATTTTCTCCTCTGACAGTTTCAGAACTTGAACTCTAACCTCTGTGTAACTATCTCCTGAATCTCTCTTGCATCCTAAACTCCTGTCAGAGTTACACTACATACTTCTAATGCCTGGTGGGTAGTAGCCCCTCTTCTTAACAAGTCCAAAACTAAGACAAACCTTCTCTCTCTATCTGCAAACTAGTTCTTCTACTGACTTTCATATTTGTATTTACAGAAATTCCTCCATTCCAATATGGAGAGTGGAGTCCAAAGACTCCCCATTTCATCATCCCCCTATGCCATACATCACCAGGTTTTGTTGGTTCTTCCTCTGTAATAAATACCAAACTTTTTTTTTAAAAATGAATGACCTTTGAGAAAGAGCCTTATAATAATCAAGAAGTTGTTCTAACAGAATGGTCCTGTAATATTCTCAGGACTTCCTGACCAGTATTTGATTATTTCCCATGGATGCAAAGACAATTTTGATGGGTTCTTCTGAATTGCAAGGCTTATGTGACTCCCATTTCTGCTTTATTCCCTCTATCTGGGAATATAGGTTCACTAACCCATATTGCAAGCAATGTTCACTACATAATATGATGACAGCTTCTGTAATTTTAAGAATTCTCCATGAGAGACATTATTTGAAATAACTTATGTTGTTAACTTGAGAAGAGCTTCATTTCCTAGGTTAATGTCTTACTGATCCATTTCCTCTGTACCTGAAGTAAGCTACCAGCCAATGTGTTATCATTTACAGTTAATTTACAATTGATCTTCAAGAAGACATAGCACTGGTGCAATATAATATGAGCACATTGATTACAATACCAGCATTGGATAGGCAGTGCCCTTTCAGGCTTATATACAACACTTGTCTACAAAAAAAAAAATCAATCAATAAACAGAAGTGTGGGACTATAGGCCAACAAAGTTAGTGGCAGAAACAAGTTGATACTTGTTTATTTTACTTAGTTACTGAACACCTACTAATTATAATAATAATGATGGATATGACAATGACTTCAAATCACTGTCTCTCAAAAGCTCACAGTCTTGTAGGAGAGATGATATGTACATGAATAATATAACTATATTGCAAGATAGCAAATGATAAGCACCATGACTCTTACAGCTAAAGTGACATAAGAATTCAAAAGATAGAAATATAATTTGCTGGAAGATCACATAAGATATTGTAGAGAGAACAACCCTGAATCAGCCATAATCCTGAGAAAAGTACCCCTGAAAAAGTCTGTTACGAGTTAAAAAAAATGTTGCAAAGTGTATACAGAGAGGTAAGAAATTATGAAATATATTTAACTTCTACAACAATGAAGAAGCTTCCTCGCTAAGGTGATCACAGAAGCATTATAGGGATAACCTTGGGTGACGAATTCACAATGGCTCATTGCCATCTGGACTGCTGGAGCCAGATACATCTCATTTAGCATTTATAAGTAAAGAGTCAGCGGAGAAAACGCTAGAGGCCCATTTTAATATCTCATCTAAGTATATATCAAGTACTGGACCTCCAAAAATGATACTCATGATTAGACCAAATATTTTCTTCAGTGACAAGATAATTGATTTTTTTGTTTGATTTTTGAGATGGAGTCTCATTCTGTCACCCAGGCTGAAGTGCGGTGGCACAAACTTGGCTCACTGCAACCTCTGCCTCCCAGGTTCATGCAATTCTCCTGCCTCAGCCTCCTGAGTAGCTGGGATTACAGGCGCACACCACCACACCTGGCTAATTTTTTGTGTATTTTTAGTAGAGACAGGGTTTCACTATGTTAACCAGACTGATCTCGATCTCCTAACCTCGTGATCTGCCCGCCTCAGCCTCCCAAAGTCCTGGGATTACAGGCGTGAGCCACCGTGCCTGGCCAGAGAATTGATTGCTTTTTTCAAAGGGAGAGGAGGAAGAAATACACAGGAGAAATTCAATACTTCAGCACTTTCTTCTTGAATAACTTGCATAACTTTCCTCTTGCACTCATGGCCACTTAGGACTGTTGCAAATGCTACATTATGCACAGGCCCTTCAAGGTTCCTCTGAACACAAGGCAACTCTCAGACTTCACTGTTGAGTAAATGCCAGGTGAAATAAACAACCAGAATCATCCTTAAGCTTTGTTTCCATGGACTCTAAACAATCCTTTCTCCAAATGGCATCCCTCTTCCACAAGCACCTTCCTCAGCCTTGAAATCAAGCTGAGCACAGGCACAGCATTCCATGGCAAGGGTAGGGAACAACGCATCTGATTGGACCTGCACATATTTGTAAAGCATGTCATTCTTATGTGTTTTTTGCTGTTGTTGTTTTTATTTTTGGTTTTGGTTTTGGGTTTGTGTGTGTGTGTGTGTGTGTGTGTGTGTGTTTTGTTTTGTTTTGAGACAGGGTCTCACTCTGTCACTCAGGCTGGAGTGCAGTGGCACAATCTTGGCTCACTGCAACCTCTGCCTCCTGGGCTCAAGAGATTCTCCTGCCTCAGTCTCCTGAGTGACTGGGACAACAAATGCGCACCATCCATTGCACCCAGCTAATTTTTTTGTAGATTCAGGATTTCACCATGTTCCTCTGACTGATCTCAAACTTCTGGGCTCAAGTGATCCACCCACCTCAGCCTTCCAAATGTTCTTATGTTTTACTAATGTTGTTAATGAAATCTCATTTCTTGTATCTTAAGAACTACATTTATTTTAAAAGCATAATGTACACTGGCACAATGTACCATTTTACCACAATTGTATGCCATCTTGGTATCATTTGAGGGGTCAAAATTTCAGATAGCCATCAAGCACTTTCTTCCTTTGGCTTCTCTTTCTCCTGCCTCTCTGGTCATTCCTTCTATTTTTGAAGGCTCAATTCTCACATTCACTCGCTCCCCAGGCAATGTCATCCACACGTTTATCTTCAATTAGTAGCAATCCATAGGTGACTTGCATCTTTAAATAACAACCATAGATCTTTCCTCTGATCTCCAGACCATTATATGCAACTGGCCACTTGACATCTCCTCATTGGAGGTTGTAAAAGTAACTCAAACTCAACAAGTCTGGAACCAAATAAACAATTTTCATCCCCATATCTGGTATTATTCCAGGGTTGGCAATCTGAAAAAAGGTAATTGCACAACTATCATGTGTCAGGTATTGTTTGGGCACTTGGGATATATTAATATGCAAAACGAAACTCTGTAGTCTAATAGATGCTACATTATAGTAAAAATAAACATGTCTCACCTGAAATACTGCAAACACCTCTTCATATCTGGTTTACCTATATTTATCCATGCACTCCCTAACGTGCTCTCCACACTATAGCCAGAGTAAGAGAGAGGCTGTATTATCTTTGCATGATGAGAAAAGACAATGTGAAAAATGACCCCAAAGCTGAACTAATTCAAGATTGCAGAGCCTGGAACCAGAGCTGATCATGAGAGCCATGCTCTCAGAGGTTCTGGGGAGGGCTTTGGATTTACATAGGGTATACAAGGTTTTGAGTCCATTTTATCAAGTTTGCAAAGGTCAACGAGATCATAGTTGACATTTCAAATACATAAGTCTTTACCCTTTTTTTTCACCTTCAGGCAGCATTTGATTTTGTCAACACATGGTGCATTCTTGAGGGCACATCCACAGCTGCAAACAGAGAATATTTGAGAGCTTGTGTGGAGGTTCTAGTTGGGGAGTGTACCTACTTGAATACCCCTGACCAAAGATGGGTCCTCATCTATCAGGGATGGTTGCCCTCTTTGACAGAGCACACAGCTTCAGGGAAGATGCACATGGAGCAGTGAGGGGGGAAGGGGACACCTGCCTAGCCAGGCAGATCAGCCAATTCAACCCTGGTGATCAATGGGGTGACAGATGTCACAGCCAGATTTCCCTTTCATCCAGCAGACATTATTTGAATCTTCTGTCTGAGGGGTTGACAGGAGCTACATTCCTGTCAACCCCTCAGACAGAAGAATTATTCCTGAGGCCAGAGCCGGCGCTTACCAAAGAGCCAATGAACCAGATATACCTGACTAGGGGTTTTAGGTGGGTTTGTCCAGATAATTCTTGAAGGTGGGAATAGCTGCCAACAACCAGGTTACTCTAAAGCAGGAATTCAGCCCAGAAGAAACCAAGTGAGAATTATTTCCTTTTCTTTCTTTTTTT